TTCAAAAAGTGGTCAAATATAATGTGTTCTTGTGAATGAGGATGTACTGTCGCCGAACAATAGCTGCAGTAAGGTCAGTGACAACGTAGTTACATTTGGTTACATTTCCTGTGAACACTTCACAATAATAGCCATTAAAGGTTTTTAAAATATGCTTTTAATGTGAAAGAGCAGAAATGTTTCCTGCATTAGCAGCTAACGCTCCATGATTTAACAGCTACTCGAGAGGTGACGACTGCGTACATAACTGACAGGTTTACTTTTGTTAAGTCTAAACAATACTGGACCTGGAATAGCAGTGCGTTTGTCTCCTTGGTAGCTGTCAGTCATGAATAAGTGTGATACATGGTACAGTAGCAACTGTGGACGGGTGTCTGGTGTGTTTACATGTTTGTGAGTGATTTGTTTTCCCATGCGGGAAAAAGGGCTAATTTTACTGTCAGTCTTGTTTGAGACAATTTTGGACACCACAGTCAAAACAGTAGGAAGTGCATTGTTTTAAGTCAGTGTGCTGCTTTGTCATGATCTTTTAACCATTTACTCACCAGAAATGGCTGTTATGTGAATATGGACAGTAGAAATGGGTTGAACAAGTTGTGAATCTTACTGAAGCATCATGAGGAAACAGGTGCAGCAGCTCCTCACAACATACTGTACAGACTAACTCATTCTTTCAACTGAATTCTAAACATTCTGTCTGAAATGACTGCTTGTAGTTCAGGAAACATAGTAGTGAGTCCTAAAACCCAGAACTGAGTTAGGATTTTTTGCACTTCCAGTTCCGGCGTATTTTTCTTGGCTGCTACAGATCAACGCCAATTCTCATAAAAAGCGTTTTGTCACTTGCCTCTCTCATGCTACAGATAGAACTCTGTCAAATATGTCTCTGAGACATACATGTGAGGCACACGTCACCCCTGGAATCCCACCCCCCACCCAACAGACCATTTGTCCGGTCAATGTCTTGCTAACAGACAGACGGCTGTTCTGACAACAGTGATGCTGCACAGAGGTTGAGTTGGTGTGGACTGAATGGATCAAATGCTTCAGTAGCTTATGTGCTACTCACGTGTCTGTGAATTCTCAGAATGCCAACTGCACCGCTTGGCCCTTGTTGCCCAGTCTGAAAAAAATACTACTTGTAACCTACCAAACTGGCTTTTTGAGGGAACCAGGGTGAAGCCAACTTCTGGGCTGACCTACAAAGATACGTCATCCCTATGGCACTCTATATCCTTCACTAGAAGGCAGATAGAACAGATCTATGGGTTGAACTTTAACAGCAGAGAGTAGAAGAAGCACCCAAGAGAAGAGAAGAACAGATGGTGTGTTGAAGTCTAAGGCACCTTAAAGTTTCATCTCAGTGTATAAAGCAATTATAATAAGTTTGACTGGTGTTTAAAGCATTGTGTTTTCTTTGCAAGTGACATAAGTGATATTTAAAAAGAAAGAAGGAACAAAAGGACTCTGTCTGCTGCAGACTGTGACCTGTCCTATGGCTGTAGACAGGCCTTCATACTGTTTAATGCAAACATTTACACCACGTTGTATCCTGTTGTATTGCAGCCTCAATTAAAACACACACACACACACACACACACACACAGGCTTTGTAGTAAGCGGTCATGAATGACCTAGTTATTAAGTTGGCCTACAGCCACAGTGTTGTTGTAGACACTACCTCCTCCTCATCATCATCATCCTGCACCCATCGGTGCTGATGTCGCACCGTGGCATTTAGGCCTCTACCGATGGCTCATTCTTAGCTCCGTTATGGACAAAGCAACTGACAACGGCATTAAACACGTCCTCACCGGGAGAGTAGAGCCGTGCTAGCTGTCGAGCTCCGGCGTGCTGTGGTCCCCAGCGAGGCGCCGCGCTGCGTGCAGCCGCCCCGTGCTCATTCCCGTTCGGATCCTCCTCCGCCATGGACCGGTGCCTGATGTCGGTCTCGGAGAGTAGCGACGCCGCCATAACCCCTGGCCGCTGCTCCCCGCTTGAGCTTTTAACTGCAAATCATCAATTAGAAATCTGTCTCGGTCGGTAAGTGGTAGGTTATGTTTGTGACCCGGCCTCCGGTGGCGGATGCTGAGTGGATAGAGGAGGGAGACTGAACCAGCTGATGCTGGCTGGGCTGTACCGGAGCGGCCCCGTGTACCACCCGGAAATGCTCGGACGGAGCAGCGCTGACACACAGACCTATTTTACGGGGTTTGAACAGCGTTTGTCACGAACCGCTGTCGGTTGGAAACGGAGGACTACTTGCTCAAGTGTTTTTGTATCGCGACTCTTATCGCACTGCTTTAGTTCAACTTGTTTTTCAGCGTCAGGCTAAGTTGACGCGCGTCAGCTCTAGGGACCGTCTGCTTTTTACAGCCATGACAAAAGTGGAAGTGGTACCTTAAATTCAGTTCTGGTGTTTGTGTGCGTAGAGTACACACGCAAACACAACCACAGATATATAATGGATAATAAAATAAAAACCTATTTATTTATTTACTTCAAACCAGTCATCTTATCTGCTGTAATTGGCCAAATCCAAATTAGTCCCTCAAAAGAAAGTGCTTATATGGTAAAAGTAACAAAATTCAATTACTGACATTTGTAATATCAAATCCAGTTATGTAGAGGAAAACAGTGTGTGACCTAACATGTACAGTAAAGGCAAATCAGTTTATTTTCTAGATGTTATTATTTTGCCATGCTTGAAGGATTGGCCACGCAGTATTCCCAGCAGGAAACCTTCAAACCAGTGAATGTCTACATAGTCTACTGTACAATATGTGATTCTACAGAGGACAATTATTAGTTTTGCTAACAAACAAGCACATGTATTGAACACCTCCCCCTGGTGAAGTTGTGGTTTTTTTCAGGCCCCTGGTTTCAGAGAGTGGGCGCCCAGCTATCAGCCTTCCAACATGGAGGGTTTCAGCAGCTGTAAGAACCCAGCTGCCCACACATACAATTACTGCTGAAACAGAAGACTGCAGTCTGAAAATAAAATAGATTTAGACTATAATACATCATATAGTTTGACAGCTCATGTCATAAAAACACAACCATGATGTGAACCCTCATATTACTTCAGATAAACTACTGAATACATTTTGCACAAAATGATAGCTGTGGACTTTGTCCTCCGTCACTTACAGTACATAGAAATGTGTCAGGGAAGGGTCTTTAAACAGCCTGTGTAAACAGGAGGAACAATCAAGTAAAGCCTGTTTCAGTGATGGGCACTTGACTATGGTTTGTAGACAACTGTGTACACATGTACCCAAAATGTAATTGTATTAAATTGGACATCATCAGTAAGAATGTTCTGTTTAGAAAATGGGTGAGTCTCAAAGGTCCCACTATGGCATGAAATAACACAAAATACCAAAGATCCCACCCACCCCCAGCACGGACTGTTCATCTCCCTACCCTCTGGCCAGAGGTTCAGAAGTGTGAAATGTAGGACCACTAGACTGAAAAACTCTTTCTTTCCCTCTGCCATCAGACTCCTAAACAGCTGAGGAGTTTATTACCAGGAAACATGTAATGTACTGTTTACATTCTGTTTGCACATGCATAATTGCACAATGACTGTTGACTGCTGCACATGCTGCTCTCATGCAGCATACATTGTGTTATATTCTTTCATTATATTGCTGCATTTGTTGCTGCTTAAAGTGTCCTAGATTCTGTGTTACATGTGTAATTGCACAATGACTCTGCCGCACATGCTGCTCCCATGTAGCATACATTCTGTTATATTCTTATATATTTTTATTATATTGCTGCATCTGTTGCTGCTTAAAGTGCCTTAGATTTTGTGTTACTTATCCCTCTACTTTATATTTCATTTGTATTTTGTGGCATTCATGTGCACGGCAAAGTAAGAATTTCATTGAACAGGGAAACATGTTTCCTAACTGTGTATATGACAAACACTTTGAACCTTGAACCTTGAACCAAATTACTGAAATATCAGAATCAGAATCAGCTTTTTTAGCCAGGTGTGTCGGACACACGAGGAATTTGACTCTGGTACATTGGCTCTCGATTTGCATGTACATATCCCCATGCAAGGGGCAAGTAAACAGTAAACCAGCATTAGGCTGTGTAATATAAGAAAATAATCAGTATTAACAAGCAGCACACATTGCCAACAATGCAAAATAAACAGTATAAACAGGCAGTAAGCAATGCAGACAGACAAAGGAATGCTCATTGTGAAATGGAATAAATAGGAATAAAAACAGAGTAGAGTTGCACTGAGGTTTATTGTCCAGTCATACTGTTGTGGGTCAAGTGTTCATCAGAGTGACAGCCCAGGGGAAGAAACTGTCCCTGTGCCTGGTTGTCTTGGTGCACAGTGACCTGTAACGCTGTCTAGAGGGGAGGAGTTCAAACAGATTGTGTCCAGGGTGTGAGGGGTCTGCAGTGATCCTCTCTGCCCTCCTTTTGACCCGTGAGGTGTACAGGTCCTCCATGGAGGGCAGGCTCACACCAATGACCTTTTGTACTGTCCTGACTGTCCGCTGAAATCTGTACTTGATATATCATTTGATATATAATTTTTGATATATTAAGAAAAGGGTTGCCAGTACTACAGCACAGTTATGGCCAAAAATATTGACACCCCTGCATTTCTGTATGGAATGTATCAGATATGGGGGGTTTTCAGCTTTTTTGTGTTGTTCCAATGCAAAGAAAATAAATTAATATAAGAATGCCAAAATATTTGTGATTCCAATAGTTTTCAGGGAGAAGTGATGCGTCATCTGAGAGAAATGCAGGGGTGCCAATATTTTTGGCCATGACTAAGTAACACTCAGCTATGTGCAACTAAACGTCCTCCTCTCATTACTCTGTTTGATGACCTGTATTGGACTGTGTTTTACATCGTATGGCTCGTTGGGAAAAAAACAGAACATCTAGTTTGATCCATATGAACCACGGTTTACACTCCTTGCTGTATATCTGCTTTGTGTTGCTAAGGTCCATAAAAATAATGGCTCATGTTTGCTGCTCAATTTTACTGTAACATTCTTTAAAAATTATCACAGTCTTATCTCAGTCCTCTCAAACCACCCATCAGTATTGGAAGCTTTCAGTGTTTGTGGACTATCTTTAACTGTTAGTATCAAAGTTTTCCATTTTATCATTTTATTCTCCCCTTTATTTTATTATAGATTTATTTTGTTTCACTTCGTGAATATTCTCTAGTTATGATACCTTGCTGTTTTTTGTAAGTTTGGAATTATTCCTGTAGTTTTACTATAAATACCTCTGTCTGCATCGTTTACTGCCTGTTTATACTGCTTATTCTGATATATTGTGTTGGTTTACTGTTTACTTGCCCCTTGCATGGGGACATGTACATGCACATTGAGAGCCGATGTACCAGAGTCAAATTCTTCGTGTGTCTGACGCACCTGGCTAATAAAGCTGATTCTGATTAAATTTGTTTACAGTCTGAATGATGGTTTGCAACCTCTATGTTCTATGTGGTGAGATTTTACTGTGAACAAGGTACTTTTTTTTTTTACTTAAATTAAGTCTTTACTATATTTTATAGATATTATTGTTCCCATTAAATGTTTTGGAGCATTGGTTGTTGTCCTATGGGTATTTTATTAGATGTGATTTCTCTGATGTCACTATACTGATGTGCTCACAAGCCAAGATTCAAGAATCAAGATTTTTATTTGCCATTTATGCATAAACACACAGTCTAGGCATATAGGAATTTGTGTTCTCTTGGAGTCATGTAAAGAGTTTAAAGCCCAAAGAACAAACACCTAGTCTAAATATAAGATCACCCAAGAATACAAAATACAGAAAACCAAAACCAAAGACATTTTTGTAAGAGATGTTTTATGCTGAGGAACTCAAAATACTCATAATTAATAACTAACTTTGATTTCCAGGCACTGAGAAGCAGAATGATTCCTCACCGACTCCAATGTATGGACCAGGCTCTCCTTTGTGTTTCAAAGATAGTTTGAGGGTAAAGCCTTATCACAACCCAGCAAGAAAACCAGATGTGGACATTAAAACACCTAGCCTCATCACCATGACTACAAGTTGCAATTTAGCAATGTTATAGTGATTTTGGAATCTTTTTAGTGTAACCCAGCAGACAAGCTGATCGGAAGTTACAGCGTGCCAAATTTGAATAGTCTTCAGCCAAAGTTTGTAGACAAAGAAAGCTTTCGTAACCAGATTAAAAGTGAGTTTATTTAGGCCATGTTGTTTGTTTAGTTCTAAAGATGTCATCAGGATCATCCTGTGACAATCAGTTTAAATTAAACAGTTTTCCCTTGAGACATCACCAAATGCCAACAGCAGGACAAAGAACTGGCCACCGAGAAGCAGCTCTCTCGGACAGAAATCCCAGACAAATTCGGTGATGACAGATTTGTCCTGAAGCCCAGCTCAGGACCATTTCATAGCTCACGACAAAGATTGACTGACCCTTCTGACCCAGAAGGGCTCAAGCCCAGTACTCTTCCTTCATTGACATGAGCCCTACTAAAAGATAAGTGACCTGCACAGCTGGATGTCTTACAAAACATTAGTTATTACTAAATCCTCTAATCGATAGAAACTGATAGTAATTGTTCTCTCCAGATTCATGACTGAACCCCAGAGTTTAGATCCTAAATCTAGCTTAATTTTAGACAATTGTAACTCATTGTTCCACCATTGCTAAAAATAGACAGCCAGTCCTCCAGTGATCTACTGATTCCATTTATGTTACGCGGTACCATTTCATTGCATTTTACATTCTGATCTTGTACATATTGTAAATAAATGTATTTAGTTTATAGCTGACTTGATGTCATCTTTTCTCTTTTATTTATGGATACATGTGTCAGTGTTCTGAGAAATTACCAATGAGACCGAAATAATTACTTAGATTAACAAATTCATCAACGATGTGATGGAACCATAACCATTTGGTGCCCTGCTCTAATGAGGTATTAAAATATGAAAAATATTAAATATTGAATTCATCTTCATAAAGTGTTGTCATTTCCGTTACATTGAGGAGTGAAATTAAGGACACATGCACTCCTTTAAAATCTCAAACAAGCAGCGTGTCTTGTTTTGTAACTGTGGATATATTCAGAGATGATTGTGACAATGTGTTACCAGTCCTTGGGTATAATGACCCTGCACAGGCTAACAGCATAGTCCTAGCACTCACGACACAGTTTTAGTGTCAAGGTCAGAAGACATGTTAATAAAGGTTTAATAAGAAATGTTTTTCTTCCTGTCATCTTTGAAGGGAGTCCTGATCCCTGGTTTGGAACCGTCGAGTTAGAAAATCCTTTTATATAAGTTTGATGTTGTAATGCATTATGTAGCGTACCTTAAATTGGCTTATATTAATAGATGTGCTGTTTTAAAAATCTGGACTCACTTCATCATCACG